CTGTGCGCATGCGCGCCGCCGCGGACGCCACTGCGCAGGCGCCTTACGCTCAAGGCCCAATCCTGAGCGCGAGCAGTCGAGTTTTGACAGCGGGTCGCTAGACCGTCAGCGCGGCGCGGGGAGCGCCGGGAAGGCCGGGTCTTCCTCCGGGGCAGCCATCTTGTCCTCCTCGCGAGGACGCGGCGGAGGCAGCGGGGAGGATGAGGCGCTTTCCGGCTGTCGCGAGTGGCCTCTCGGTACGCGCCGCGGGGGGGAGCGGGGGTCGCGCTCTGTCCAGCGGAGGTGAGGCGGCTCCGGCCGGGAAAGGGTGCGGCTCTGCCCTGGCCGCGGCCGTGCCCTTGGCCCGCGCCTGAGAGCCCCGCTGAATCCCGTGAGGCTGGGGGCGCCCGGGGGCGGCCTCCTCCGCGGTCACCTTCGGACACGCGCTGCTGTCCTTGAGGAAGAAGTTTGGGGTGAGAAATTGGTGTTGACCTCATCTGGGGGGAGAGAGAGGAGTTTTTCCGGGGTTTAGAATCCGGGGCAAAACAAGAAAAAATAAGTTGATGGTTCCCTTATTGCTGGGTTTGTCAGTGTTTCTGTTGCTGAGTTTGAAATCTTAAGAGAATTTCTTACGTGAAATCAAGAGGAATAAATAATTGATTTTTACAAATATAAAAATCTTCCAGGAAGGGTGGTGGGCAACGGCATTTCAGGTCTGAAATCAGCAGTGTGTGATTTCAGGGGAAACCCTAAGAGCCTCCTGAAGGAGAGACGCCAGTGTTGGTGCCCCCTCAATTTGAAGGCCTGTTTCTGATTATTGCTTTGTGCTTTCAGTAGCTGTGTGTGCAGCTTGCTCTTTAGGCAGTGGTCAGTGTAGGTAGGTTACCGTTGTGATCAGTAACTTTTTGGGAGTCAAACTGTCAGCACCAAATAAATAACAAGTTATCTCTAAAGCCGTGTTCTGTATATGTGGATTAGTATAGTTATTGTTTACTTAATTGCTCAATAAAGGGATTCTAGAGGCTGTATCGCATCTGTAGAGATTCACAGTATGCAACAGAAAAGGAAAAACAAAGCCTTAGGGTGGTAGTTCCTGGACATCCAGAGGCCTCATGCAAGTCACTGAGTTCCAGTGGGGATTTGGAAACAATCAGAGGAATTACAAGCAAGTTATTATTTTTGTACTGAGTCTCGAAGTTGTTCATTGTATTTCTACAACAAGATCTGTTGTTTTTCGTATGTAGTTAGAATATGTTATGAACTAATTCAAAAGATCTGTTTTCTTTGTTATGCCTTCTCTTGCAGAAGAGATTTTACTCACTTAAAGTAGCTCCTAAAGTTGCAGCCTCAGCGAAAGTAGATCGAGTAAAATTATCTCCAGAGGGACAGGATTTTGAGGTCAGTATGAATATTTAGGGTTTTTTCCCTTACAAAAAAATAGCAGAACAGTAACAGTACTTACAGTGGATCAGTAACCCACCTTTTTATTGTTAATACAGATTACAAAATTGCCAAATGGCTTAGTTATTGCATCTCTGGAAAATTTTTCTCCAGTTTCAAGAATTGGTGTGTTCATTAAAGCAGGCAGCCGATATGAAACTACTGGTAACTTGGGAACTGCCCACTTGCTTCGTCTTGCATCCAATTTGGTAAGAGTTTAAGCACTTAAGCACTGAGCAACTAGAGGCAAATCTGTGCTTAAAGTAGTTAAGATTTTATGTAATTTTTTTCTTCCTTTAATAGACTACCAAAGGAGCATCTTCTTTCAAGATTACTCGTGGCATTGAAGCTGTTGGGGGTAGCCTGAGGTTTGTAACTACACAAATAATCTTTTTGGTAACATGCAAGCAAGCTATATGACAAAAGAATAAACAGTAAGCATTACAATATATAGGTGGATAAGGTTGGCACAGTGATGGTGTGCACATTAAAAAGGAATGTTTTTTGTACATATGCTGTATTAGTTCAAAAATGCATTTTTGATTTCTATTTTTTAAATATCCCCTGGTTAAGGAAGTATAAATGCTGGGTACCTGGAAGAAATATGAGTTGTACAGAAAATTTGATGTTCTTCCAGCCTTTTCAGTCTTCAAAATTAAACTTCCTGAAGTCTGTAGATTTTTATTTTTCTCAATATTTTCATCTTTGAGACATAACACTCCTCTTACGGCAGTGTTGGGAGCAATGTAGGCAGTATCTGGCTTCCCTGATTTGACTGATTAAAGCCTGAAAAAACAAACCTCAGAAACAGAAAGGGATCTTGCTATGCTTACTTTGTTGTAAGGTATTTTAATATTGTCCAGTAATGTTTTATATAGAATTTGGCAAATGTAATGTTTTAAGTAATTTAAAGCTGTTTTTTTGTTTTTTGTTTTTTTTTTTTGCTTTTATTAAACAATTCGATGGAAGTGAAGGATAGTTGCCTTGTTTGGTTCTTAGACACGTTTTTTATTCAAGTTTTGCTATTTATTGTTATTTATTTTTTTTAAAGCTTGAATTATCCAGATATCTTAAATTCTAATGATAATAAGACATAAAATTATTATCTAAATTTTTAAGGTAGGAGTTTTATGCTTAACTATTTTTGCTATTAGCACTGTTGATGTTAAACATGCTAATACAGTGCTCCGTTAAACAGTCATCTTGAACATATTTAAGGTTGACTACATGTTCTAGTCAGTATCTTGCTGAAGTTTTCAAACACTGGGGAATATTTGTAAAATCACCTTCTTGTGTTCCCCACTGAAATGGGTTTTATATTTTTTTCTCCTTCAGTGTGTACTCAACAAGAGAGAAAATGACTTACTCAGTTGAATGCTTGCGTGACTATGTGTAAGTATCCAGACATGTTGCGATTAATTACTGCATGTTTTCTATCAAGCTGGACTGTAAAAAAATACAGACACTTATCATTTTAAAGGTTAAGAGAAACACTAATTTTAATGTCTGTAATAAAATCAGTAAATTACCATATTAATGTTCAGCTTCTGTATTCATTTCCTGAGCCTGTTCAGCCACAGAGCTGAAGTTGAACTCGCATACATTAGTGCTAATACCTACTCTGACTCCAGTAATGGATTTTGTTGTTAGTGGGTTTGGTTATGGATTAGTTGGAATTACTTTTCATTTATATATATATATATATATGTATATATATATTTAATTCCTTTGTAACTTTTTTCTCATCTAGGGATACAGTAATGGAGTTCCTCCTTAATGTCACTACAGCTCCAGAGTTCAGGCCATGGGAAGTAACTGATCTTCAGCCACAATTAAAAGTTGACAAAGTAATTGCATTTCAGAACCCACAAGTTGGTAAGTGTATTTTGTGATCCCCTGTGATGTCTTCATGAGAACTTACTAGAAAATGCAAGACTTCAGAAAAATAGAGAACTTTTTGTAATTATTAATACTGAAGTAATACCTCTTTATAAATTTGTATTGTTCAAAACTTTATCAAATACAGGATAATTTCTTAGGAATTTAATGTTTAGTAATAATCATGTGTTCAGAAACATAACTAGAAACATAACTATAGGAAAAGAATGCCATATGCATTGGATTATTGCAGACCTGCTTTTGCAGATCTTGCAGTTGAATCCTGTAAAATGGACCACAGCTCTGTTTCAGTGGGGTTTCATTCATAATCTTCATTAAAAGTAGTTATTATGTTAATCTTCATCAGTGACCCTTGTTCCTCTTAGGAGTTCTGGAAAACTTGCACATGGCAGCTTATAAGAATGCTCTGGCAAACCCATTGTATTGTCCAGATTACGCAATTGGACAAATTACCCCTGAGCAGGTAGGATTCTTTAATTTCTGTTAACAAATCTGTTCTTCAAGTTTCTTTACCGAGGATATGTGTCAAGGAAATGAATTTAAGAAATAGTATTTACTATGTTACTACTCTGGTGGTAAAATAATTTGTTTCTTTAGGCTAAGACTTGTCAGTGAAATGCAAGTGTTCATATATAGAGGGTATTTATAGCTGTCATTGAAGAATATTTAAAATGCTATTCTATATTCTGTGTTATTCTATGCTTTTTGGAGGCATTGGGATTTGATGCATCAGGGTTTACAAGGTCTGAACAGTGGATGCAGCAATGACAGAAATACACTTGCCATTTTTCTTCTTTATTTAAAATACCCTAAAATGTGGATTTACTGTTGCAGCTTCACCATTTTGTACAGAACAATTTTACAAGTGCGAGAATGGCGCTTGTAGGAATAGGTATGTATGTTCTTTAATGCATGTTGCAATTTGTAAGGGAAAATTACTGTAGAAATTTGAGTTAACTATAAAAGTAAAATGTTAAGGTACTTTTTAAAACTTATTTTTATATATGTGCTTTAGCTTTCCAAAATCATTACATTCATTGGAATAAATTGTTGTATTGCAGGTGTGAAGCACTCTGAACTAAAGCAAGTTGCAGAGCAGTTTCTGAATATCAGAAGTGGATCTGGTTCTTCTGGTGCAAAGGCTATCTATAGAGGAGGTAAGCATATTTCTTACTTGTTCTGAATTATTTGAGAATATATCTGAAATAATAAGATATATCTGATTTTTGATTATTATTATAACTATAGTATTGTTCAAAGATGGAACTGAAAACTTTGCAGTGTGATATGTGTGAAGTGGGTATGTGCATCTTCTGCCT